TACCCCCGGCCCTTTGTTCCGCCGCCCTGGGCGCTTTGTCCGGCCCGTGGCGCCCCGCATCCCTTCCCCTTCTCCTCCCCGCCGCTGTCCTGGCTCCGGCGCCCCTTTGTTGAGCCCCCACTTCTCCGGAGCCCAGTGACCTGCCGCAGCCCGGGCTCCAGACTCCTGCCTTGATTTTGCTTCCATTGTCTTTCTCGTGCGTATCCCCTCTCACCTTTCTCCCGGTCCGGGATCACCCCCAGAGGCTTTGTCTCTCCCGTGCCGGGGCCCGTTCTCCGGCATCCCCTGCCCCTCCCCGCCGGCGGCTGATTGATCCACGACCCACGGCGTGTGTCTGCCGAACTGTCTCAGCCCCGGGGACTCCCATCTGGCGCTTCCGAGTGCAGACAGTCTCCACGGTTTGTTGTTGTTTTGTGGGTCTGGAAGATGCATGGGATACTTGGTTTCCTCCTCCGCACCCCTTTCTCTCGGGATTAAAGCGTCTCCAGCTTTCCTCGCTCTTTGGGCCCGGGCTTGTTTTGCTTGGAGGCGGTGGCCCTGGAAAAAGATCTGGTCTCTTGGTGGTCGTTGCGCCCCCCGCCCCCTCTCGATGGTTCCTGACGGCCTAGGCCAAGGGCAGCTGTCTTTCGTGTCTGTGCATCTGGGTGACCTGAGGATGGGTGGAGGGGATTTGGTAAGAAGGAGGCTTAAGGAATTTTTTTTTCCCCCTGTTGGTGTTTGAGAATAGTTTCGTATATCCACAGCGGGTATTCTTTTGGTGTGTTGAGTGGTAGTTGAGTGAATTTTGATGTTAAAAACTTGTGAATGTTGGGGTGAGAATTTCAGCATTTTCTGGAATCTAAATCTAGAGGCTGTTATTTTACCAGTCACTCTTGCCTCATAAGGAAAAGGAGAGACATCCTACCTGGGAAGTCGATAAGAATGTTTTACTTTTTCTTAATCATTAAATAGTTTGCAGTTATTTGCTTTCTGCTCTGTAGCTGTATGACAGCCTTCTGTCCCATTCTTGGGGTTGACATGAGGAAAGCGCTGAGGAGTACTGTTTCTGGTTGATGAATACTGTTTCTAGGATCTTTGTGGAAAATAGTAATCAAATACCGGTTTAAAAAAAAAAAGCATACTGTAAGTATACCTTTAGAATACATGTCAGTCAGTCTTTGGTGAGGCTATCTTAAATACACTTCCTAATATTAAAGGACTATTACATTGTTCTGAGTTCTCATTGTTATGGTAATATTAAGTTTGGGGTTATGTGTGGGGGTGGGGGTGTGGTGTGTTGTATATTAATGGCCTGAGTTACTCAAGGGCTAGGAATAAGAGGTAATTGACCAGGATTACTATAGTGAATGTATTTTTTAGGAGTTTGTTTTTTCCTACTAGTTGCTCTCAATTTTTAGAAGATATGTTACCTGTAAAAGCATTTGGAGTGTCATTTCATTTACAAACTAAAGTTCTATGTGAAGTTTTACTGATAAAGGTTATACAGGATCTTTTGTAAGGAATGTTGGTGCGTTGGAAAGCATTTTTTGTTTTTGGCTGTGGTTACAATTAGTAGTTTGAATTTCAATTAATGGAAAATCATGATTTCATGATCCACATATGAGGTTTTTCTGAAAACTTGCAACCTGTGTTTCATGAGTGGGTTTTACCAATAATAGGCATTTGTCTCCCTCACTCATTCTTAATACGTAATCATTCCTTGGAAGGTAAAATCTTGAGTTTATTGGTTTTGACTGGAAGCAAAGTGTAAATACTGTGTAATAAAGGAAGGTGTTTTGCTGTTACTTGCACTTAGAAGAATGATCACAAAGACATAAAAGCAGTTTTACAATTTGAGTTGTGTTTTTGTTTCTCAATCCTGTGTAAGACCTTTATTTTGTGATGAAATCAAACGGTGCCTTTAACTAAATTATAGCAAACTGTAGCATATTTCGAAATGTACAGGATGAATTGTGTGGCTGGGGAGTTTTCATTCTGATTATTGACTGTTAAATTTTTAAATTTATTGTCCATGCACATAAGAGGCTTGCAGTATTTTCAGATCTGTTCTGATGTGTGCTTCTAGGCACTAGATATTAAGCAGTTAGTGTTTTTAAAAAGTTATCTGTTCCTCCATATTAACAGATTTCTTTCGGTGTTTTTTAAGTGAATAAGATAAAAATTGGTTTGGGGAAGGGGCATTCTTGCCAGGTGTAATTCATTAAATAATCTTTGGCATCCTGGATTGGTAAGTCAGTAGGAAAAAAATTGCTTTGTTTCAAAGTTCATACAAATCTTAATTCTGGTGTTATTAGAAATAAGACCTAGGACTTGACTTTAATTCATTCTTTTGCATTTTGCTTCCTCCTAATACTAAATTTCATGTTATTTCAACTAGGGGCAGTATTTTCTCATGGATTGACTAAAAGTTGTTATTTTTGGCATCTGGCTTTGTGTTTATTTCCAAGTTACTCTACTTCCCCTGGGCCAGTTTCCTAACTATGTAGTAAAATGGGAATTGTAATAAGTTGCCACAGCTGCACGGGATTGCTGTGCCTTAAGATTTGCGAGGCGCATCCTTGGATGAAAGGTGTGGTTAAGGCCTAGGGATTGTTACCAAAATAAGCTTCATATTTCATAGGAAGTCAGTATATAGAAGGTTTTGAACTAAGTTCTTGGCAGGTCACAGTACTGATAGTGGGATGAAAAGAAACTCCAACCCCAAATATGTATTACAGTATGGGTAATAAAACAGACACATCCCGCCCCCCCCATAAACTTATAAGAAGAGGGGCAAGGAAAACAAATTATAGGGTGGTGTGTGTGTTTTGTGTGCGTGTGTGTGTGTGTGTGTGTGTGTGGTGTAAGAGATTGAAGATCTGTCAAACTCAAACATAATAACACATTGTAAAATTATGTGATGCCTTTCCTCTTTCGATTTGTTTTCTGCATGTAGTAGTAGTTCAAAAAATGGTAACAACATATTTTTACTGAACTCTAAGCCAAGTCTGTTAATAGAAACAACTAATTTTAAATATGCCTTAAAATGTTTAGTGCTTTGTCATTTGCTCTTAAGAATATCTTCAGACAACTCAGGACTGTAATTTCAGACTTGATTCTTGGCTTTAGGAAAATGTTTTGCATGTGGAGGACACCCTGTAGATACTAACTGAACGAATGAAACCTGTTGCTTCTGTGTTCCTGGTAGATGATATGCCCCTTCTGGTTCCCCAGCCCTGGATTCTGGATTCCTCTCTCACTAACCCTTTACCATTTAATCCCTAAGAACTGATAGTTTTTCCTCCCAAAAAATCTCTTGAATTTGATTTATTCTTCCTTACGGCTCTCATTTCTCACCTGGATTACTGCAGATGTATTGACGCCTCTCTGCTCTAGTCTCATGCCCTTTATCCAGCTTCCACATACTGCTGTCTTTTTAAAGAGCAAATCTGATCACTTCACTGCTTAGTCTAAAAACCTTTCAATGGCTCCCCCTAGCAGCTTTCGTTAAGAGAGGCAACAGAGTGGAGGGTTGAGATCACATTTATGATTTAATCCAAACTGACTTCCAGTTCTGTCTCTGCAACTTAAAACCCCCGTAATATCGACAAGTTAACCTCTATCAATTGGAAGATAATTATTCCTAATTCAGGATTGTTGTGAGGATTAAATGAGGTAACGAATGAAAGCATTTAGTAGAGTTCCTGGCACCATAGCAAGAACTCAGGAAATGCTAGCTAGCATGGCATATAGGGTCTTCCTGTTTCATTTGCTTCTTCTCCAGCTGAATTGTTGCCAAATTCTCTCGCATCATAATTAATACCCCAGTCATATTTAAAAACTTTGAGCTTCCTGCATGAGCCTAGAAGTTTAATGCTGCCTTGTGCGATGAAAAGTACTGGTCCTTAGTAGGTATTATTCAAAACTAAGATCAGGAAATACTCTAACCTGATCCACTAGGCTAGGTTGGTGCACCTGCTGTGTGTTATTTATTTATTTATTTATTTATTTATTGAGTTGGAGTCTCCATCGCCCAGGCTGGAGTGCAGTGGCACACTCAAGGCCACCCCAGCGTCAACCTGTTGGGCTCTGGCGATCCTTCCGCCTCAGCCTTCCAAGTAGTTGTAACTACAGGTGCGCGCTACCACGCCCGGCTAATTTTTTGATTTATTGTAGAAGTGAGGTCTTGCCAAGTTGCCCAGGCTGGTCTCGAACCCGTGGGCTTAGGCAGTCCACTCGCCTTGGCCTCCCAAAGTGCTGGGATTATGGGCTGAGCCACTGAGCCTGGCCTATTTATTTATTTTTTGAGTTGGAGCCTGGGGAGTCTCTGTCACCCAGGCCGGAGGCATGCTCATGGCCACCACAGCCTCGACCTGCTGGGCTCAGCTGATCCTTCCACCTCAGCCTTCCAAGCAGGTGGAACCACAGGCATGTGCCACTATGCCTGGCTAATTTTTTGATTTATTGTAGAGATGAGGTCTCTCTCTGTTGTTCAGGCTGATCTCCAACTCCTGAGCCCTGGCAGTCCTCCTGTCTCCCACCTCCCCAAGTGCTTGGATTACAGGTGTGAGCTACTATGTCTGACTGTGCTGTGTATTATTAAATGCTATATATAATTCCCTTGCAAGTGTGATATTAAATTGTAATTATCTGTCACACCCAAA